CTGGAGCCGGCCCTGCGGGGCGCGTGGTCGGCCCGCAGGCCTGGCTGGTCCGAAGCCGGATCCACCAGGCAGAGGGCCACTCCTCGCCCGGGGGCCTGGAGACCGGGAACCCCCATCCCAACTCTGGGTTCTCCTTGCCGCCCCCATCCTGTGCCTCCTGGAGAGGGAGTAGGGCGCTAGCTGGCTGGAGCTGCCTGGCAAGGTCGCAGGCTGAGGGGGCGCTCCGGGGGCAGAGGGCCGACTGGCAAAGGCTGCCAAGCACAGAGCCAGCGGGCAGAGAGGCTGGTACCTGGTGGAGGAAAGAATAGAAAGGCCCTCACAAGATGGACTCACACGAGCTGGGCGGAGGGACGCACAGCCATGACACAGCCTGAGAAATCAGGACCCTCAGGCGCGGGGTGGGGGGGTGACAGGGCCGAAGATCCCTGCAGGTAGCAGACTGCTGGGGTGTCCAGACCCAAAAGGTGAAAGAGACATGGAGATGGCGCCCAGGGGGTCTCCTGCCCCTTTCACATTCTATGCAAAGTCAGCAAACCCCCTCACGGGAGTGAGCCCCTCCCGGAGAGAAGCCGTCTGTATCCGCACCTGCACAGGCGCAGGGCACTGTCCTCTGCCCCCTGCCCACGCAGGTGTCCTTCCCCCCACTCTCTCCCTCCGCAGGGCAGCCTCCGCCCGCCTGGTGACCTGCACCTGCCGGGCGTCTCTGCACTGACCTCCCTCAGCGGAGGCCGCTCTCGCAAGGCCGCCCGCCTGCACCACGCCGGCCTCTCTCTGCAAACCTGTCCCTCTCAGGGCAGCTCTTCCTGCCCGCTTGTGCCTGTGCGAGAGTCCAATACTCTTGTCCTTTTCTCTAATTAACCTGCTCTTTAAATATAACCGAGTCTGTCTCGTGGAGAAACCCTCCTGGGAGCTCACCGCCTGCTGAGAGGGGGCAACGCGGGAGACCTTTCCCAGAGTGAGCCAGCCCAGGGACCCCCCACTAACTCCAAAACAAAAAACAACAGTAAGCACGAGAGGCCCCGGGCAGCTTGCAGTGGCTTCACACCCCTAGGTGGCAAAGCAGGCTATGAGGCGAGGCTGAAAGGGCTGAAAGCCCCAGAAGGGGGGACGTCCCCATGAGAGATGATAGCTGCCCTCGTCAGTAAGCCCTCCTGCGGGCAGGAGTCTCCTGCAGCATCCCTCCCGCTGAATGAGGCGGCCCGGGAAGTGAAGCATCGTCGCCCAACATCCAGCATGACCTGGAGGGAGAGGGCTGTTGGGCCGCGAGGGCCTTGTTCTGGCGGTGTTTCTGAGCGTCTCCGGCACGCTGGCACCGGCGAACTGACCTCCACACAGCAGCCCACTCCAAGGCCGTGGGTTAGAGCTCAAGCTGTTTATACTGAAGTCGTCCTGCATAAATCACATCCCCGTGTTCTCCTTCCCTCCCTCCCTCTCTCTCTCTCACACACACACTCACACACGCAGCTAAGTGGGAAGGAAAGCCCATTCGGTCGCTGCCTTGTTGACCAGCTGTCCTCAGCCTCCTGGCAGCAGGGAGTCTGGGTCCCGCTCTCTTCACAGCCAGAAGGTACTTACGCGTCCTCACTTCTCCGGCCCAGGCCTGCAGTGTTTGCCAGCCCCACCAGAGAGCACCCTTTCTGCACGCCTGCTCCTGCCTGGCCGAGCGCTTGGCCACCTCAGCACACGTCTGCTCCCAGGTCCCCGCAGAACCAGTGCAAGAAAATTCCAGCTGTGAACGCCCCCGAGCCTGCAACAGTGACCCCACTTCTAAAGCTGTTGATAATTTTGAAAAGCGAATGAGAGGAAGATTTGAAGCTCTGGAGGGAGAAGACCCGCCGAGCTCCAGCAACAGCGCAGAAGGCCGGGGACGCTGAGGGGAGCCCGCCCGCCCCGCCTACAGCTTCCCTCAGCCAGGCGCGGGAGGCGACTCGCCCTGGACCTGGGTGAGGGCGCTGCAGGAAGTGGCCCCTGGCCTGTGGCCCCGTCCTTAGCCTGCCCTGGGCGTCCTCGCTGGTCATCCAGGGGCGCGACTGAGACCTGCGCCAAGACGGGGGCGAGGCTCGCCTGGGCAGGCACTTGGGGTTCAGAGTGGCACTTGGGGTCCATGGGCTGTGACGCTCACACACCTCATTTGTGAGCCCTACACAGGGGCCGCCAGACCAGGTGCGCAGGGCCTGTGACGGGTGCGTGACAGGAGTCTCAGGTGCTTCCCTTCAGGCCTGCAGCGTCGCGCATCTCTGCCCTCCGCACCCTCCAAGCAGCGTCAGGTGTTGTTTGCTGGCCCACAGCCCTGTTGGGCCGCCAGCGCATGTGTGTGGGTCCCCATGTCGCCCCCAGAACCTGCCACAGGACCCGGGTGTGACATCTGGGGCACAGCAGCCCAGTGCTGGCGCCAGAGCCTCTTCCGTGGCGGGGTCTCTGCTCCCCTCCAAGCAGCGCCTGACGAGGCGTTGGCGTCTCCCAGGCCTCCCTAGAGATGCAGACACGTTATTCCAAGTGGCTATTTTTTTGTTACCTGAAGTTGGTCTGTGAAAATCTTTGCATGCTGGAAACCGTATTTCAAATTTATGTATTTATTATTTTACCTCCTAAATAAATCTGACACTGAATGTGTAAAGCACCATGTGAGTCACTGCTGGGACAATCAGTAAGACACAAACACAGACACGTCCACCGTGTATGACCCACGTGTTTGCGTGCGTGCGTGTGTGTGTGTAGGTCAAAGAAGAGAAAAAAATATCAAACAAACAAACGCATCATTTTATTGTTGAGCAGAGAGAGACCTCACATCACTAAGCCGAGCGTCGCAGAAGCGCCAAGGTGTTCTGCAGCCAAAGCCTGAGGGCTGGGAAGCTCCTGCGGCATCGGAGGAGGGGGGGGGGTGCGGGAGTCAAGCCAGAGCCCGCGGGGGAGGCCGGCAGGAGCGCTGGGGAGGGCGGCGGGTGTCTCCGCGGTGCCGCGGGGCAGCAGCCCACGCAGAGGGTCCATGACCGGGTCCACGGCTTCTGTCCTGGAAAGCTCCCGCCGCCCCGCTGGGTAGCAGGGGAGAAGGGCCGGGCGTCTGGACCTGAGGAGCAAAGGCAGGGGCATCACCACCCCCCTTCAGCCGCTGCGCAGCGAGGACGAGCGGCAGCTTCCGGCTGCGCTCTGCCCTTCCGTGGCCCGGCCAGCAGACGGCACTTCACCCTGCAGCCCCGTCTGAGCTGCACTGGTGATGCTCCCCACTTCACCCAGCCCCTCCCAGAACTCTCTCAGGCCAGGCCAGGTCAGGCAGGAGGCTTCCTTTTGCAGCAATTTCACGCGAATGAAAAAACGCAACACAGTCATCTGTGCTTGCATCTCATCGATCGGCCTCTCGGCCCCAGCACCGGCCCGTCCTCCTAGGCACCTCGCAGGAGCACGCTGTGCTGGGGGCAGGTGATGCGGCCTGTCATCATGGCCCCATCCCCCTGCAAGGGCCTCGCTTCACCAGCATTAAAAGTAGATTTCCACAACACACTTGTGTCTGCCATTTGTATAAAATACTATGGCAAAATTGCACTGTAATTATCTTTATGCCCAACGCATCACGCTCGGGGAGAGTATGTCATCAGATATAGCTGCCCATATAATTATCTGGCGGTCGGCCGGACTGAAATAACCGTCTAATGAGAGCAAAATGATGCGCAAGTGCCATGTAATCAGCGAGTTACGGCTATTACAGCCCTTTGTACCCTCTCACCCAGCGCCGAGGGGGTCGGACCCAGGCTCTGGGCCTAGGGGGCTCGCAGAGGCAATGTCGCGGGAGCTGGCGCCTCGCCCGGGGCCTCACGGAGGCCACCGCGGACACAGGGCGAGGGCGGGGTCCCCGGGGATGGCTCCCAGCGCCTGGCCTCTCCTCGCCACCCCGATTCCAGAAGCCAGGGCCAAGCCAGCCTGGCAGAGCCGCTGCTGCGCGCAACACGGTGTCCGGCAGAAGTGTCCACAGATTCGCTGGCCCTTCCCGGGCTCGCACACTCACACACCAAGGTGGGGTCTCTCCGCCCAGCCTGGCCGGCTCAGGCCAGGCGCTCTGGAGAGACAGACCAGCGCCCCAGTCGCGGCCCTCGCTGCAGACCGAAGGCGGTGGGGGGGTGTCGGAGGGGGGGCGACGCAGGGTCGGCGCCCTGGGGTCCTGCCCTCACCCCGTCCCGCCCTTGACTCCCAGCCAGTCCCTTTCTCCCTAAAGCATCCTTGCGGAGAACTAAACACGGGACCCCAGACTCGGTTCTGCACGGGCCTGGGGTACCACGGGCTCCTGGGAGGTGGAGGCGGCGCCTGCTGCTGGGGGTGGGGGCGGGGTTGACCGTGACTTTCCCACCCCCCAGGAGAGGAGGAAGCCAGTGGGGGGCGCTGCCCATCACAGCAGCCGCAGGGCGTCCCACCCCTCAGTCCTGGCCAACAGCCAGTCGGGGCTCATCACACGGAGAAAGAGGAGGGGTGTGTGCACCGCACCTGTGCACACCCCAGCACGCTCCCGCGCACACGGGACCTCCAAGCGCGGGGTGCCCGACCCACAGAGTGCGTGGCCGCGCGCACCAGGGCTGCCTGCCTCACATGTGCGCATGCGCGCTCAGCCGCCCTCCTCCCCGCCCCCCCCCCCGCAGTCCTCACCTCATGCCCCGGTGGGGGGGGACTTGAGGGTGCCGAAGCTGGGGACAGCCTCTTGGTTCACGTCAACCAGGGTGCGAGTGCCTGGCGCGAGTACGCAGGGCGGTTAGGGCGTCTGAGTGTGACCTTCACCCGGGCCAGCAGCTGGGCTGGCCCAGCAGGCCGCGCCGGAAAAAGGCCGCTGAGTTTTGGGGGGCGGAGGCACAGCCTCCCTGAGCACCCCAGTCTGCTCCCAGGGAGGCTGGACTGTGGATCTAGGCGGATGGGCCAGAGGGCTGAGGAGCCTCACTGCAGCTGAGAACCAACCGCCCCCCGCCCCCAGGGGCCAACACACAGGGCTCCTGCCTCTGCCCGCCCCCAAGGCCTGCCAGTGCCCCCGTACGCACCCACCTGCCCGAATGTTCCTCTTGCCCATGAGGCCCACGAAGAAGTCGTGCATGTCACCTGCGGGACAGGGCCGACTCGGTCAACCGCAGTGAGGAGGGGACGCGCTGCCAGCCACGTGCCGGGACTAGAGTGGGCTTCCTGGGGTCCCTCTGGCCTGCCGCAGCTGACCACTGCTGGTGTCCGGCCTTCCCGGAGCCCGGCCTCCCTCCTCCCCGTTTCAAGACTCCTCTGCCACAGCTGGCGCTTGGCTCAGAGCTCCGCAGCCATCAGGGCTCCCCTCGTCCAGCCGGGGGGTCCCGCCCGGGGTCTGCACTGCACCCTCACCCCTGCTTCCTCCTAGTTCCCAGTGACAAGGGCACCTCGTTTGCACCAGCTGGCCAGTGGCCAGTCGGAATTGCCACCGACCTCGCGACTGTGGAGCTTGAAGGGGGGCTACTCACGCTTCTGGGGAGGCAGAGACTCCTTACGGTCTGCGAAGGCAAGAGCAAGTGTGTAAATGGGAGTGGGGGCTGCAGGGTGAGATTAAGGGGGGCAGGGTCTTAGAAGGCCATAGGGGCCTTGAAGGGGCTCCCGAGCCATGCGACCATGCGGCCTTCGGAACCCTGCCCCGCACCCCCTCCCTCCGTCCGCTCCCTACCCACGCTGGCCTTGCTCAGCATTCTGAGCAATCCCTCCAGAGAGACGGGGCGGCTGCCGTCCGGTCTCCGGGGCCACGGCAGGGGCAGCTGGTAGCTTTCCGGCTCCTTCTAGGGGAGGAACAGAGAGGGCTGAGGCAGGAGGCTTCTGCCGGCGGACTAGCTCTGGCCCAGCGGGGGCTTCCCGAGCCCATCACAGCGCGACCCGGGAGCCTATCCTTTCAGGGTGTCCACAGGAAGAGAAGTGGGTGGCCCAAGAGTGGCGCACGGTCAGCAGTGGACAGCAGCGCTGTGGGGAGCTTGTTAGGGACCCACATCTTGACCCCCGGGGCTCTGGGCACCACAGGTTTGAGAAGCGCTGGTCAGGGAACACACTGGCCAACCCTGTGGACTGACCAGCGGCCCCCGTTTTCCCAGGACTAGGGGCCCCCATGGGATGTGGGACTGTGGGTGACCAAGCGGGGACATTGGCCACACTGTCTCCTAAGGACAACGGTCACTGTCCTTTGGGGCTTCTCCCAGCGCCTACGCTCAGTGACAAGAGTCAGCGGCTCTTTCTCCCTGGCACATCAGTTTACCGAAGGCTGTGTTACCCGCTAGGTGAGAGCCCCGAGCCCCACCACGCCCAAGAAAGGCCACCTCTGGTCTGTGCACCACGACATAAGAGCAGACAGGACTGTCCGGGGACAGGGTTGCAGGCAGCCGGCCCACCCGCAGCCCCTCCCCGTAGCTGGCCCCGCTACAGCTCCCTGCCTGGCTCACTCTCGCCTCTCACATCCCCTCTCTGGTTCTCCCCGCCCCCCCTTTCTTCCCTGGACTTGGAATTCAGAGAGACAGCACGCCCACCATGACCTCCTTCCCCTCCCTGCCCAAACTGAACCCCGTAATCTGGACCTGCTACCAAGCCGAGGCTCTGAACTGCCTTGGTGACCTCTTTAAGCCACTTGGGCACAACAGTTAATGTCAGTGGCAGTTAGACAGTGACGATGGTCGCGGGGTCTCCCCCGAGTCCCCTGAGCCTCTCCGAGAGGCTCTGCAAACCCCAGGCAGCTGCGGCTGTGCCCAGAGGCTGTTTCTAGGGCACACCCCCAGCTGGCGCTGGTGCCAGGCACACCGGGCACCTCCTCCCCAGCCTACGGCCCTAGCCTCGCGGTCCTGCAGGAGTCCCTCTGCCACTGACCGCAGGGGCAAGCAAGCTGTGCCGGAAGAAAGTGTCGCTGTTGTGGCTGCAGCGAGCTGGAGCTCTGCGTGCCAGTGTCCAGCCCGCGGTCGGCTCCCGGGAGTTTTTCTTTTTGTTCCCTTGGCTTGGTGCAGCCGCTGGTCCTGGCAAGGCCATCAGCCTGCGTGCCCTGGGGCCCTCACCAGCTGGACCACGGCTGGCCATCTCCCCCCGTGCCCAGTGACCACTGCCCAGGGGGCCACTTCTGCAGATCGCTCGGCTACTCTGCCCACTTCCTGTAATGAGATGCTGAGCGGTTTTGGGCTGGAGAGGCAGTTAGGATCCACACGCTGAATTTTAGTAAGTTCCACCTGTAATCATCTTAAAAGCATCTGCACCAGTGTAATTGCTGCCATTTCAGAATCTCACCAAGACTTCCTCACGCTCGCCGCAGCCCTGCTCTGCTGTTTCTTGCTCTCTTCCCAGAGGAACTCAGGCTCTCTCCACCCACCTGTCTGCGTTTGTGTTTTTTCCTGAGGCTGGCGAGGGGCAGGGCGGAGAGGAGGCTGGCGTCTGTGGAGTTCCGGGGTGACGGGGTGGACAGGGCTTAGGGACGTGTATCTGACTTTGGGCAATAATATAAAACCTGCAACTGACGGGTGAAAAGCACACAAGTAGCCTTCTGGAGAGACGCGCCGCCTGATGCCAGGCGCGGTGAGAGCCTGCCCCACAGTGCGCCATCGTCACCAGGTGGCCCCGAGGCAGGTACCTCGTACACAGGTGTCAAGCTCTGCAAGTGGACAGAGACGCTGGGACGGACCCAGAGACAGTGAGAACATGAGGCGCCAGAGGCAGAGACCGCAGCCCTCTGACCCTCCCTCGGGCTGCGGGGCACACAGCTCTGGCTCCCGGGTGTCTCTCGGTCTCTGCAGGGCGGGGCGGGCCCTGCTGCCTTACCTTGCGGTGGCCCCCGCCAGGCCCCCCGGGCGCCCGTGGCTCCTCGCAGACAGCCCCCCGGCTCTGAGCCAGGCTGAGGGCCAGGATGACGGCCAGCAGCAGGCTGCCCCGCATGGCGCCTAGGAGACCAGAGGGACAAGACCAGGAGGTGGGAGCTGGGCCACAGCTCGGTGCACCCCAGGCGGCTGTCACTCAACAGCCTGGCTGCCCAGGCGGGGTCTGAGGAGAGGACCCCTGGGCGGGACCCCTCGCCGGGTTTCCCTGCTCCCCTCAGCCGCTGTGCGTGCGTAAGTGCCCGCGAGACGCCAGATGGACGGGCTTGCACGCGGCTATTTGCCCCGTGGGTTTGGGCAGGGGTCCTGGGTGCTGTTTTCCAGCACTAGGTAACCCCAAAACTTGGGCAGAAACTTTCCGTTGGGAGCATCAGTCAGCACCGAGCTGCAAACATTCTGAACTGGGGCGCTCCCGGCTCGGTCCCCTCCACTCTCCTCCCGACCCACCCAGCCTTCTCCCCTCGCGCCTACCTGTGAAGCAGCTTTCTGCCTCGAGCCAGACGGCTGCGTCCAACTACCCTCGGCTGCGAGATGCCCTGGGCAGGGGAGCGGGGCTGGAGGGGGTCTGGGACGGTGGCCGGACTCCTCCCGGCTCCCTGCCTGATAAAGGCTCCGAGGGTCTGGGGGAGCGAGGGGAGGGGCTGAGAATCACCAATCCCCGGGTGGCTGGAGGGGAGGGGGAGCAGGTGGGGGAGGGCGGCTGCAGACACACAAGCCAGCGAGAGCCAGCCAGCGAGCCAGTGAGCACACACACTCGCGCGCACTCACACACGCACGCACAGACTCACACACGTGCGCACTCACACACACGCTCACACGCACACGTGCGCACACACTCATGCACACTCACGCACGCACTCACACACACTCTCACACGCACACGCACGCTCACACTCACGCTCACACTCATGTGCACGCTCACACTCACACTCACGTGCACGCTCACACTCACACGCACACTCACACACGTGCACAGGTGCACACACGCACTCACACGCACTCGCACACACTCTCACACGCACGCTCACACTCACGTGCACGCTCACACTCACACACGTGCGCACACACTCACAGCACACTCACACACGCGCGCAGGTGCACACTCGCACTCACACGCGCGCACACGCTCACCACGAGCCCAGCGGTGACAGCCGCGAGCCGGTGCCCAGCTGCCCACTCCTCAGCGCCGGGCTGCTGATGCTTCGCAAAAATGTCCCTCGTGTCTGGGTCAATAGGTGCGGACCCCGCGCCTCTTTCTCCGTGTCCCCGGTTTCCTGCTCTTTAAACCTCCAGACCAGAAGCCAGACCCCCCGGGGGGCCTCTCTGGCGTCCTGCGCTGGCCCCTGGCCATGAGCAACAAGCCTGTCCTGTGTCCCTCCCTGTCCCCCGCCCCCAGGCCATCTCAGGCCATCTCAGGCCAGCGGGTGGCCAGACTGCTCTCCTGCGGGTGGGTGCAGCACCCGTCTGCTTCCGAGCTCGTGGCCTCTCCTCCACCTCCTCGCACCCCACTCTGTCCGGACTCCAGAACTAGTCTCAGCTGCCGCCTGCACAGCTCTGACTTCACCCCTCACTGTCATGTGGGGACGGAGCAACAGAGTGTGGCTGGCGCCTCCGGCCCCCCCTCACCCCTCACGCCGC